AAATTAACTTCAAATATGCACAGGAACACAAGAAGCAATTTGCATAAGACGTCACATGGAGTCGCCTGCAATTTCACATATTTAAACAAAATACAGTAAGCACAGCTCGGGTGGGTATGTGAAATCAGCACAGCGAACTGTGCAGGGAAATGACCTGGAATTACCACGCAAGAAAACAAATGGCAGCAACCATCCAGGATGCAAAGTCAGCTCAGAAATTGTGAAACACCAGCCTCTTCCTTCATCTGCCATCCTGATAGATGCTTGCATTCACATTATCATTACATGAGCTTGAGCTACTTTTCACCAGGCCCTTCTGGTGCAGAGGATGGTGCTCACTGTATCATGTCAGAGTCACTCCTTCACATTTGCATCCTTGGCTTCATTTTTGCAAAACACTTTTCTCATGCGTCATTCTTCCTGGGCTTTGCAGTGCATTCATCTCCGAGCCTGAGGAACTCCTCTCTCGTCATGCAGCACTCTAGTGGCTGGTCTTGCCCTTTAGTGGTAACTGTCAGAGGCCAATATAATGGCTTTGGGAGCCCAAGGGCAGACACCAACAGCATCATTTTTGGTGGTCTCAGTGCTGTGTGTGGTCAGAGTGCAATCCCTGTGGCTTAGTTCTTGGTGTCTCTGTACATCAGACGATGTGGCCTCCACCCCAGCTCCTGGAAAATGATGACCAAAAACTTGACATTAGAAAAGGAAGCTGGCAAGAAAAGGGAACAATGTCCCTTAAGTGGGAATGCATCTTCCTTCAGGGTGAACATCAGGAGGGCTGAGACCTTTAAACCTGAAAAAGGGACTTTTACCCCCTGACTTACATTTTAGGACAATCCTGTATGCCTGACACATGGGCTGGATCCGCACTGCAGTAGTGAGGCTGAGCTCTGAGGGCTGAGCCATGAGCATGGACAGTTGCATCTGCTTCCCCTTCCCTCCCAAGGTGGCAGGCAGGGGAGGATCCAGCTGCTGCTCCTGAGGCAGCTGGAAGGATCAGGAGAGTTGGGTAAGTGCTTCAAGCTAAACCAGGGCTTTGGCATCAGCATCACTCCAGTCCCCATGAGCTCCCAGACCCCTGTTTCACCCATCTTGTCTTCATTTACCCTAGCTCTTTTAAAGCCTCCTTGTTCTCAGCTTCCATCCTGATGCCTTCCTGTGACTCTGCTTCCCATTCCTGTCCCTTCTTTCAATCCTAGCTACAATTTCTGGTTCTGCCCACTCTCTCTTCACCCTGCCTTTTCCTGTCCTCCCTCATGTTCCTGATCCCTCATAACTCTCTTTAGGTTTTTGCTCCACAGCTTCAGCTACTTGTATTTTAGTTAGGCAGTTTGCTTCTCTCCACAGGACTGCCTGAGCATCAGCAAAGAACTGTCACCAAAACCCTGGAAGAGGCAGTGTTGTGCTTCGTCACCCTTTCATCCCAGCCCTCCTCTAACTTGCAGGTACCAGGGGAAAATCTGTCTCTTCCTCATTTGCTGCACTCAAAATTACTGCACCATGCAGTTAGCTACAAGTAAGCTGGCCCGTGTGAGTAGCTGCAAGAAACCCCCATTTAGCCAGGACAGTCTTTTTGGTCTTCAGTTTTGTCATGGAGACCATGGCTGCTTGGTGTAAGAGAAATCTCACTGTAAAGGAAGGAATGACACCTCTCTACCACCTCTTACAGTTCCTGCTGTGTATCCAGCCAACACAAGGTAATGCTAAACAGAGCCTCAGCCTTCATTTGCGTGATGTTCACTCACATGCAATATGTCACACAAGAAAGGAGCTGGCAAAGCAGAAAAAGGCATCAGAAAGAACTGTTTCAGGCTTAATATCTCACAACTTATCCTGGTATTGCCAAGTGGGTCTGAATCTATGTAATGAGACTGGCACAAGCCTCCACTGTAGCTGTGTTTAAGCACTGCAGGCATGTTTTGGTTAATAAACACATTCAACCAAAGCTGTGTGCACTCACAGTGCACTAACCTGGCTAGACTGAATGATTCCCCTGACACTAGCAGAGGATATCCTCCACTGACTGCCCCTTGGGTTGGGAAGGGCACAGAAACCTCCTACTCTCTGGGTCACTTTACCAAGTCTCAGATGGTACCTGAGAGAATTCCAGTGCCTGTCCAAGCACCCTTCCTTAGGCAACCTAACTGGGGAACCAACTGTCTCTTCAGCCAGGCCAGGCTGTAATGGAGATTTGACCAGTGCATGCTAGACATCAAACTATGCTCCTCTGACATTCAGAAAATGAGTCAGCCAGGCTTGCTTGCTTGCTTGCTTGTTTGTTAAACCCTTGTGGTATGTCCAGGCGTTGATGAAGTCTGGCCTACAAACTAGATGGGCTGGCCTAAAGCATCTACTCTGCTGCCACTGGAGCTCTAACTAGGAGCCACAGAGATGCAGGACAGGGCCCCAGAGCAGAAACTGGCATTTCTTTCCCTGCCAGATCCCTTGTGGGGATTGATCTAAAGCTGAAGATGGTTTTGCTTGTATTCTGGTCACTCCCAGATAGAGCTGGGCTTTGGATCAATGTGGAGTGCGTCACTGAATGGCCTATTATTCACTGAGCGCGATGTGCACTCAGAGACACAGCAGCCCTCAATAAAGATTCAGTTCTGCCTCTGAGGATCAAAGCAGGAGTGAACCAAGGGAACTACTCAACTTCCTTTACATGATGCTGAAATGAGTGGTTGCTTGTTTCAGGGCAACTCTTTATGGCAGATTCAAGTTGTGCATTGTTCCTAATTAAATGGTCATCTACACAGCCACATCCCTTTAGAGGGTGTGGAGATACCTCTAACTTAAGCTGTCCATCTCCTCTGCGCTGAGGCTTACACTTGGGTTAGCACAGCTTGTACGTGCTGCCATGCCCAGTCCACACCATGGCCCCGAGCAGCACAGGGATGGCCAAAGCTCAACGGTGCTTTCCCACACTGCCCTCATTGCCCATAATGTCAGTCTGTCTCTCTTGCAGGGTGCACTGCGATGGCACACCAAGTGTAAATAACCAACAGGACAGACCGGGGGAGTCAGGCAGAGGAGCACACGGAGTCCTAACATCCAGCCCCAGCTCTGGAGAAGCTCCTTGAGCAGGGGAGGCAAATGAGTGCTGAGCTTGCTGCCAAATCCCTGCACTGACAGGCGCTTCCAGCTGACAGTTGCCTGGGTTGGGTTTTTTTTTCCCTCTCATAATGGGATAATTTATTGCAGGTTATAGAAGGCACTCAGCTGGAGGGAATCCCAGCTTTGGGAGATGTTTTCATAACATTTTTTCTGAAGTATTTTCTTTCTCAGGAAATCACAGTGGTCAGCAATGCCTCATGCTGGTTTTTGACCATTTGTTGGGTGATTTTCATGTCTTGATGTGGTTGTAGTTTTGAGGTCATTTTCTTTTATTTAAATGGTTGCATCCATTTCTCCCATCTCTGCTCCCCTCATTCAGCATGAAGCTATCCATTCTAGCTCTCTGCTGAAGAACAGGATGCTGGGGGGATGCTAGGGAAGGAGACAAAACTGGAGACCAGGAAAGAGGGAAGATGCTGGGGAAGGAGACAGGGCTGGGACCAAACTAGAAGGGTGGGAATTCAACAAGGGCAGGTGGGCAACAGTGAGTAGAAGAGAGTGGTGACGGGAAGGGACTAGTCCAGGGACTCTGTGTTTCAGGAATCCAGAAGAAAAAAAGGGCAGTTTATGTTGCTTCTCCTGTGACGTATGGAGAGAGCCCTGGTGAAGAAAAGAAATGTCTGAGAGCCTGCAGCCTCAGCCTGTGCAGAGAGGGCACCGAAGGAAAAGCATCTGATGACAGAGAAATCAGCAAGAAGGGCTGAAGCTCTGGCTGGAAGCACATGAGGTTAGTGCAAGACATTTCACTGCACCAATGAGTACATGAGTCTGTAATGTCAGCACAGTGAGAATTTATTGCCTCCTCACTCAAGTCTCTTCAGCCTACTCAGCCCCACAGCTGCTGTATGCGCTTGTCTGGAGAGGATTAGCCGGGGCAGCAGGTGACCAGCCACCTAAAGCAACAGGGGTGAGGCATTCCATCCTCACACACCTGACACAGGGGCAGAAGAGGTGCCATTAGCCTCTTCAGCTCACAGAGATCATGCCCAGGGCACAGGGTGCCATGCGGAGGGGTCTGGCCCTCTGCAGGCAGTGGTCCTCGGTCCTTCCAGTGGGCAGACTCCAGGACAGGCCTGGTCTGGGGACCCTTCTTCCCCCAACAGTAAGGCAGACGATCCCTCCAATGCCTAAAGGCCTCAGACACCAAGTGTGCAGAGTCAACAGGGACCAGGGACCATCCCCAGCACCCAGAAACCCTCCTACCATTGCTGGGGAGTGGCCCTTCGGAGTGGCCACTGTGCCCGGTGCTGGTCTCCAGCATCCCCTCTGCACTCACCCCAGCACCAATCATACCGGGGTTTGCAAAGTGGAGGAGTTGCAGGAGGCAAGGATGCTTAATTACAGAGCAGCCCTGGAAACCAGCAGCAGCAGCAGCAGCACTGTGGCCAGGAGGGGAGGCAGCAGGGCTGTAAATAGAAATTGCGGAGGCAGCCGCGGGGAACAGAGTGAGGGAGGCTTCTGCGCCTGCATTGCTCCGTCTCCCTCCCTTTCCCTCAGCTTCTCTCACCTCTCCCGGCCACCCCGGCTCCCAGCACGAATCTGCATGTGACAAGAAACCCCAGGGCATGGCTGGGATGCAGCAGCTCCGGAGGTAGAACAGCCGCTCTGGGTGGAGAAGCGGGTGTGCAAGGCCTCCTCCATCAGGGGCCACCTCCTGCGGAAATGCATGAGGAGGGTTAAAGAGCCTCTTTGGCCAGCAAAGAAGACCAAGGCAAGATGGATGTGGGTCCAACTGGCCCTGCCCGCCACCCCAGAAGAGACTGCGGTGTGCCAGATGTATGAGCCCCCATCCCAGTGGGGTCTGCCTGAGGCGAAGTCCCTCTCATCCCACCCTGACATCTCCATTGCAGCCTCTTCCAGAGCAGCAAGAACTGTGCTTTCAGTATTTTGCAAAGGTTTATTTAAAAATGTTGAAACTAACATCCCACAAGAATTGAATATTTCACCACGAGGAGAAGAGAAATCCTACAAAAATATATATCACAGCACACAAGGGCAGGGGAGGGGGAAGAGCGAGACTGAGCGGGGAAGCAGGAGGGAGCACAGAGGGGAGGATGGGAGCCGCAGCAGAACGAGACTGAGTGGCAAAGGGAGAACAAGAGAGGAGTGAGGAGAGCGAAACAGTAGGAGAGCGGAGATAATCGGGAGGGAGACCATGGTACAGGACAGGCATGGGAAGCAGGAAAACAGTGGGAGAGGAAAAACAACAGGAAAAAAGGAGTAGAGAGCAGCAGTTGGTGTAGGAAGGGCCCCCCCCCTCTATGATCTTGCCAAGGTAGGGCCAGGGCTACAGTGAAACATCAGCAGGGATGCAACTGGGGAGCTGGAGTTTGGCCCAGGGCTTTTGTGCTGCAGGACTCGGCTCTAAGGCTGTGCCATAGACGTGGTTTGTCAGAGTGAAAAAACAAAACCACAGTTTAATTCAGAACAGTCTGGAGGTGATTGTGTTAAGAACTTGCAGGGAATGGACAAACCGCTCCTTTCCAAGCATTTTTCCTTATCTGGAAAGGGAGCGGGGAATGAAAGGACCAGATTTGCAAGGGCACTTAGGTGCCATTGAGGAAGAGGTAGATAGCCCTCTCAGAAGTTGTGGGGTACTTGGCTGGATGTGAGTCCCTGGAAACTGGACCAGAAGAGTGGTGTGGAAGCACACACCGGAGGTGTGCTCCCTTGCCTACCAGTTGCAAGCAACAAGATGGGAAAGCCCAAGCAGGATTTGGCTTTGTGACCATACCACTGCTGGGTAAACAGGGGGAGACTCCAGTTCCTGCTCCAAAACAATACAGGGCAGAGGGGAGAGATTCTCCCTCAAGTCTTCCCACAGCACTCACAAGAGAAAGCACCCTTGTGTTAAACAAAGCCAGGACCCTCCAGGAGCTCAGCAGAGATATAGTTCCTTCAACTCAGCCAGCCCACCTGGACGTTCCCTTTCAATTGCACAGAAATGTTGGGCAGGCTCAGCTCGAGGCCAAGAACATTTCCAGTCAGTTTTCCCACACACCTTTCTCCGTAATATTTCCACTGGAAAAAATGAATCCAGATCTTTCTGCTCCAGTCAGGTAGAGCGCAGGGAAACCTGATGGGCTGTGACTGAGAACGTGCTGGCCTCTGCCCTCGCTTGGTACTTGGTGCTGTCAATCCATCTGTGTGTGCATCTCACAGACTGTTAGCCTGTGCCAGGGAGTACACTGCGGGCATGCTCTGGCTCCAGTCTGCATAGGGGAAGATGGTTTGTAAAGCTCCAGTCATGGAGAAAACAGATCCAGTGAGATTATTTATTGACTGGAAGAAGCTGGTGTGTCCACATGTATCTCAAATGTTTTGTTCCAGGGACAAAGAGTAGCAATGAACGTTTGGGCAGGACAATGAAGTTGTTTCCCTTACCTAAGCTGTTTTATGTGAGAGAGTAAATGACTGTCATAAAGACATATTTGACTAGAAAAAGTGGTCTTGGAAAAGATGTTTAGCATATCCAAGCTTCTGTCATTGTAAGAGTTTTCTCTACCGCATTCCCCAGCTTCCCCCTTACCACAGTATCCACGAAAGGCTTCACTCCCTGGAGATACAAAAACAGAGGCGTTTTAAATGGGGAGAAAAAACCCCAAACCACCAAAATCTGATTTGTTTGCAAAGTTCACAAAAGCCAGGCCAGCAGAGCACAGGGCTTCCCTGCATTGAGTGCTGGAGAATGTTTTCACTACGCCTCCTGCAGTGCCCTGGCACTTTCCTACAGACCTTCTCCCCATTCGGCATGTGGAAAGGGAAAGTCCAAGGACAGCCCTTGAAGTGGTAGAGTCTAAACTCTGGCCTTGTTTCAACAAACACTATTGATCAAAGAGCAATCTAATTAATCTGGCCTGGGAGATGACTTAAACCAGTTCAAGGCATTATATTGTAAACTGCCAGCAATAAGCAGTGCAGCCTCTTGCAGACTGCATGCAGATGTCCTTCCCCAACGCTGATATGCCAGCAAGAGGGGGAACAGTGGGCAGGAACAGCCATCTGCCCCCTTCTCTGCCCATCCGCAGCTTGATCGCCCACCAAAGCCTTGAATGGAGCCTGAATAATGAAAAGGCTCAGTAATAGATTGATCTGCAGTAAAGCAATAATATCCCTTGCTACAAGTGGAGGCTCAACCTGCGCTTAAACTTGAGACCTCCAGAGTCCTTTTCCACCTACATCTTTCAGCCATTCTGTGCTTTTAATAAGCCAGTAATTTTATTTGACCTGTCATTTTCACCAAATCTCCACTGTTTTTTGCAAAGCTTATTGCAATTTACACTCTCATTTAAATGTCCTTCATGGTGAGTCAGATGGGACTGGAGATCACCTAACAGTTCAGCTGGGTAAATGGGCAGAACCAGGCCTCTCAAGAAATTCCCTGTGCTTTGTCCTACAAAGAATAGGCTTTTACTGCGGAGATAAAAGATGAAAGATCCATTTCCTTTTCTCCAAGATGACTTTTGTCAGGGACCTTGTATTAGAGCCTTTATATTGTGGGTGAATTTCCTGTCTCTGGCCACATCAGTGCAGCAGCTGAAGGTGTTTGTACAGTATAGGGGCAACTTCACCAAAATCTGCATCAGTTCAGTGGCTGTCATTGTGGAGTCTGTCACCACAAAAGCCAAGGGAGAGCAACTATTGTCATTGAGCTGAAATTTGCCATTCCACCCCTCCTCAAAGTGACACCCATGGGTCCACACACTGGAAGAGGTTGAGATGCACTGATCTTGCTCACACAAGTAACTGACTGTGGCTGCTGGCCTTACAGACCACCACAGCCTTGAAGTACATGCTCAGGCAACCAGTTTGCACCAATACCTGTGCCACTGGTTTTGTTCCCCAGCCAACTGGGGCATAACTTAATGAAGGTTGTCCTCTCTTTCATGCCCTTGGTGAGCGTTGCCTCATGGGTCTCCAGTCACCTTGCATTCCAGGAGACATCTACCAGCAGTATGTGGCAACCCTCCAAATGTTCCCAAGGTCAAGCCTAAATTGTTCTTTGTCATCCCAGGCGTAGAGAGTCACAGCTGCTGCTTGTTGCCTGTGGCATGAGTGTCTGAATGCAATTCCCTACCTCAGCCCATCAACCTTAAGTTCCTCATGCCCAGCAGCATCTTCATGCCATGCTTCAGCCATATCCCAGTGTACAGGATGCTTCCTAAATAACATGCTGGGCAGAGGGCTTCGCCTGAGATTTTCTAAAGAACATCACCACAGACTGATGCTCTTCAGGAAAACCTTTCTGAAGCAGACTGAAGGGTGGAAGGGGACAGCAAGGAGGCTTCCAAGAGATCAAAACATTTGGAAAGCTAAAGGAACCTTTTCCAACTTTAACTGGCAAGAGAAGTGGCAGGGGGAGGAACTGAGAGAGGAAAAATGGGGACAGAGAGATGATGAAAGATAAAAAGCTGAAGAGAAAAAACCCAAGAGTGTTAGGCAGAAAGAAAATGGAAAGATGTGAATATCTTCCATCTAGAGGGAAGATAATGTTTCCTTCAAGGAAGTGGGTTTCTGAGGGGGCCCAGGTGCTGTGTGAGCCTCTTCTGCCCAAGCTTCACCCCTCCTTGGGACCCTCGGGAGGGCCAAGGCCTTGGCAACAAAGGACCCTGCTACCACCTGAGTCCCGGCTGAGCGGAGACCGAGCCCCGGCGGGCAATCCTGCAGCCACTGAACTCCAGACGTTCACTTCAAAACACACGACGTGGGAAGGGACACACAGAGGGGTTAGGGCCCATGGGGACAGGGGTACGCCTTTCCACCTTGCCTACCCCCAATGCCAGGCATGCACTGGTGAGAGAGTCACGGAGATCCAAGTGTTTGTGCTAGGACACGGGCCGGGGAGGCTGAGATTTCACACCACCACCAGCTCTCTTCCCTCCCACCACACTGCTCTCTCATCACCCTGTCCTAAGTGGGCCGGGGGTAGGGTCTCCAACCTTCCCCCAGCAGGAGGCTAAGGAGGCCCAGCTTGTCCACTTGCCCAGGCACATCCTGGTGGAGTTAGTTAATGATGGTGGTGGTGGTGTGGTGGTGGTGGTGGGCCGTGGCACAAGGAGGTTGTTTATTCCTGGGGTAGCAGAGGCGGTGGGAGGCTGTGCTCGCCAGCTGTGACAGGAGGTGTGGGGAGCCAGCTCTGCTTCTCCCGTGAGCATCACAGGTTCACCAGTGGGATTCTGGAGGGAAAAGGGAATCGGAAATGAATTAGCAACAGGCATTCACGCTGCTCCACCGCTAACAAACCAGCACCTTTGTCCTGCTCAACCTGCCTTCCCCCTGCCAACACCTCCTGCCCCGGCTCACGGGCCACTCACCGGTTCAGCTGGAAGGCCGTGCTCTTCCCATGGCCCCCCAGTTTCTCCTGGCCCTGCCTGGATTCCTCCGCCTCTGCTGTGGGGGCCAGGGAATCACCGTAGGGCCCCAGGATACTGACGGTGGTGGGGGAGAGGTCTGCGAGGGGCTGCTGGCTCTCCTGCTGCCTCCCACTGCTCTGCTGCCCCGAGTGGCGCCGGCGTTTCTGGTTACGGTCCCAGCTTTGGAGAGAGACAAGGGGTGAGGTAAAGAGTGCCTGTCAGACACTTGCCAGCCCTTGGTGATGGAGAGGTTCATGGGACCCCGCATGCTCAGTGTTAGAGCTCAGCCATGTGCCAAACCTCTCCAGGGCTTGAAGCACCAGATCTGCGCCCTTGGGACAAATGTGTCCTAAGCCCACAGTCCTCCTGCCCACCCATCTGCAGACACCAGCATCATGGCAGCCTCCGTCAGTGCAAACCCCACTCACCAGAACTTGAATATGATCCCGGTGGCAACCAGGACAATGATGATGGAGATGGTGATGGTGACATACAGCTGGGGGTCCACACCTGCGAGAGACAGCAGGAGAGGGGGATGTGACGGCGACCGCCACCGGTCCCCAGGGAGCAGCAGTGCAAAGGGAAGTTCAGCAAAGGGAGGTTCAGCACAGGGACCTGCCCTTACGGGGCTGTGGGGTGTGTGTGAAAGAAGCAAAAGGCACATTTACCTTCCCCCCGGGGCCCAAACAAGAAGGGCCGCAGGGTGGCCGGGGTCTCACGCAGGTTGAGCCCCGCGTTGTGCAGGAGCGAGTGGGAGTTGGGCTGCGCCGTTGCCATCCCGTGTGGCGAGACGAAGGTGTACCCCAGCGGCGGGAAGCCCGGGTTGGCCGAGTTGGCGTCCCCTCCGTCCTCATCCGACACCGTGGGGCCCCACACAATGGCCCAGGGGTACTGGGAGGAGGGCATCCCGTCCTCAAAGCCCGACGGGGTGGCCGGGCGGGCGCCCGCCGCCTGCCGCCTCAGCCGCACGACGTGCCGCAGCTCTCCCCCCCGCGGCGGCAGGGCGCGCTGGCGCGGGGCGAGGCGGGGATCCCGCTCCGGCAGCGAGGTCCTGTCCCAGATGCAAATGGGCCGTGGGGCTGAGGGGCTCCGACGGGTGCAAAGAGGCCGAGGGGCTGCGGGGCCCCGAGAGCGAAGAGACCAGACGCCGGGAGGAGGGACGGCCGAGACCAGGAGGAGGAGATGCCAAAGCTGCAGCGAGTGGATGCAGAAGAATGGAGGCATCCTGCTGTGGGGTCGGGGACAAGGAAGAAGAGAGCCGTATCTGAAATGTCCCTCCTGTCGAAAGGACAAGCCCGGAGCAGCCTGGAGCATCCCACCACCCACACTCCTGTTGTCTTCCCGTGTTGCCAGTGAGCGTGGGAAGCTGTGAACCTACCAGGCACTGGGCTCCATCTCAGATGCCACAGCGTTTGTGCTCAGCAAGGATCCTGTCTCATCTTCTTCACTGGGAAACAAAAGGGCGAGGTGTCAGTGTCCCCTCATCCAGCAGCAAATGCTGTCTCCCTGGAGGCAGTGTGTGCCACCATGTGCAAGCTCCCTGTTGGGAAGGGCACCTGGGCACCCATGCACCCACATGTGCACCCTCTCCTGCTTTCGTGCTCTCCTGCTCAGAGGTGCACTGTCCCCCTGACCCCAGTAGTGCACAGAAACACGTGCGTTACCGTATGCACACAAAAGCAAAATGCCATCACCGGGCCACACGTGCAGAGGCACATGTGCAGCTTCCCCAGGGACTCTCCTGTCTGAGGGCCAAGAGGGGGATTCAGCATCTTTGTTTGCTTATCGCTGGAACAAGTTGGAATCTTAATTCCTGTATTTATTTATAGTGTAGAGCGTGTAATCCATTTATTAAAAAAGAGCCTCTTCATTGTGTGCCAGAGTGAGGGAGCGAGAGGGGAAGCACGAGAGTGATAAACCAAGAAGACTGAGGAAGAGAGTGAATCAGCGAGAAAAGTCCAGCCTTGCTAAAGAATTTAAGAGCAAAAATATGTCTATCAAATATTTAGTATTTACTTACATCTTAGCTAACGTGGAACTACCTTCTTGCACTCCTTATCCTAGTGCCCTCTGCGCTGTCCCATCCCTCCCTTTCTCCCCTCTCCCTCCTCTTTCTCTCTCACTCTTGTGGCCGCGCAGCACTAGGAAGCATCGGTATCAGGGAGTTAAGGGCTGGTCCCCCCTCTGGATTTCTGCACCGGTTGCACGCCACCCTCTGGCATCAGTCCGGTGGTAGCACGGCTGCCCTTCATGCTGCCTGCCCCTTCCCTTGGCTGGGCACAGCGCAGCGCCAGCCCTTCCCTGGTGAGCTCTCATATGCCTGACCTGGGACCCTCTCCACAAAAAGACTTCACACATGCACACACACGCACAAAAATCGTTTAGGATACGCAGCTTGCTCCTTCATCATGAAGGGGAAAGCATGAATGCCAACAACCCACTGTCATGCCCTTCTGTGGCTGCTGGGATGGGGAAGAAATGGGGATGCTTGGTTAAGGGAGTCAACGCAGTGGCCAAGCCTGCACCTCCAGCCCTGAGCCAGCTGCACTGCACCTCCGGGGTCCCAAGGGGTTACTGCCATTCCCTCCCGCTCAGCCCATGACCTGAACTAAAAGTGCAGCCCCTCCTAAACGGGAAGCTTCCTCTTGATGGAGGAAGAGCTTTCTGTGGTAAGGGGACTCGCAGCCCTGATGTACACCTGAGGAGAGGGGCTGGGAGGAAGGGCACCCAAGAGTAAGTAGCTGTCTAGCTCCTGCTGCATTAACCAGGGATATTTTTAGTTTCCTTCTGTTAAATATTTAAACAAAGTTCACAGAAAAAAAAAAGGAATTGTCGGCTAATGTGCCCTGCCCTTCCCTCCAGGGCAAGATCAGTCTCTGGAGGGATCCTGAGATGAAGATGAGGAGAAAAGAGAAGCTATTCTCAACATTTCTTTGTACTTTGCTCCTGAACCTCTAAGCCTTGAAGGGGACTCTATTAAAATGCAGCTCTGCAGAGAGGCAGCAGAATGGAGCAAGTTTCTTCCAAAGCCAGATGCTGGTGAGGCCTTGGCCATCTGGATTATGATCATGATACCATGGAAGATCATGTCTGGCAACACAAATTCATGACAGAATTTCTTTTGGACTTTGGAAAGGGAAGGAATTCCAAGCGCTGGGGAGCTCCATGAGTAAATCCCTGGCTAGAGGGCAGATAAACCACCCAAGAGGTTTCAAGTTGGCCTGGAATGCCTGGGGCTATGCCTGGGACTCATTAGGGGATAGTGGCTGATCAGGGGCTGTGGGGTGTTTTACATCAGGCAGCAGGAGATGTGGGTCTGGACAGCGTCAGGAGTGGAGACCTCCAGGTGCAGGTAGACCTCAGTGCCAGTCGCACAGGGAAGTGGGGTAACTTAGGGGTGCACATGTAACCACTAGCACTTCTCCTAACATGGATGGCACCACTGGCAGAAACGTGGGGATTGCCCAGCTCACTGTGCTCTTCTTGCTTGTTGGGATGTCTTATAGTGGAGACCTTCCTAGATGAGATTGTGAGCTCCAGCAACAGCAGTCTGGACCATATATTCCCGTGGTCTGAAGCCTGGGAATAAGAAACCGTGCAGAGCCAAATCCTGACTTGCTTTCACACCCAGTGGTCTAAATTTCAGCCCTACGGAGCAGGTAACTGGAGCTGAGGGGAAGGAGTGAGCCACAGCGCTGGCCTCCTCTTGGACACATAATGCAGTAGAAGCAATGAAGCAACAGCTGGGTTATTGGGTGTAAGCCTCAGATCCAAGACGCTGCTGTGCACGGATCCTGCTGCCAGCGGTGCAGAGCAGGTGACTCATGGTGTTCCTGCCCCAAAGGTGGCTCCAGGTGAATGCAGGAATGAGGCAATGTCCATCAGTCTCAGTCAACACACAATGGTTTGCTGATCATATTGTGGCTGGAGACTGAGAGTGTCCCCTGCACTAGCACACCCAGGCGTGGTTGTGGAGGAGCTGAGAGAAGCACAAAGGTGTCTCCTATGGCCCGAATGCCATGAGAGCAAAGGAAGGTTTCAGGTGGAAATGCCAGCCAGTGAGGGCTGGACTCCACTGTGCGCAGAGCATTCATGTTCGAACAGAGCATGGGTGTCTCTGAGGCTTACTGACGAAGCAGCAGATAGAGCATGTCTGGGGCACTCTGCAGTTACCATTGACAGTGAGGATTGTGTCCTGGGCACAGACCCTGCTGCGTTGGAGGGCAAGTGCAACAAATGCCCTTCATGCAGCTCTGCATGCACATCATGGTGTGAATGCTGAATAAACTGGTAGGTCTTCAGAGATAAGGAGGGGGTGCCAATGCTCTTACTACCTGGATATATAATGCCAGTATCCACGCGCCTTAAACCATTCAAGAGGCCTTTGTGTGCCAGAGCAGAGAGACTGGATTTCTGTACCAGTACCACATGGAGTGGCTCTTGCCTTCAGATCTGTTTTCCAGGTCTAATTGTGATAAAAACAGACAGAGCTACTCCCAGGGTCCAAAGATGTACCTGGGTATTTTCACTCTAGGTAGAGAGCCTTCATCGCAGTGTTCCAGTCCTGTGATGCACAGATGACAGAGTGTGAATGACAAAGCTATTTCCCCAGGGCACTTCATTGAGCTCAGTTTGTGAATCTTGGTGCTTGAAAGCTGTGAGTAAGAATTACACTGCTCTTGTACTGCGTATGGACCCCACTACTGATCCAGTCTGGAGATCCCTGGGGCTAACCTACTAGGAGCTACTCTCATTGCATTTGCAGGACGGAAGCACGAATCCTGCTGCTGTTGCCCAGTGTCAGGGACCCAGCTGTGCTTCCTCCCTCTTTGTAAGTCTCCCACAGCACAGACCCACTGCTGCTGGGACATGAAAGAGCAGATCTTGGTAACCATTCCTCAGAGCATGTATCCCCATTCACCAAGGGGGCTGGGAATTTACACCCTAACTAATGGCTAGGAGCAAAGCCTGCTGCACTCCTGCTCTAAGTACAGAGCACAGACTAAACCCTGAATGTGACACTGAGCTCCAGAGTTCAGATCCCACTGTGCCCCGGGGAAGCCCTAGGATTTGCTGCCAATACCTCCTTCTCCATGCCCAGCACTCCTGTATACCATGGTCCCAAAGATAAATCCTATCCAAATATAAAAGCTGTCACAGGAATAAAAGAGCCAAGGTGCCAGCCGTGTGCCGGCAATATCCATGCTGTAGCTCCCTCACATCAAATGCAATCTGTAACCTCCTGTTACAAAATGCTGAAGTTTGACAAATTCAAATGAGGAATAATACTATTAATAAAGAGGGTCATACTCTAGCACAATTCACCTAGGCAGGTGGTGTATTCCCTACTGCCTGGAGCCTTCATGTGGCTCTATTTCTAAAAGGAATGGCACAGTTCCATCAGAAGTTATGGGCTTGATGCAGGAAATGAAATTGGTGAAATTCTCTGGCCTATGTTCTGCTGTAGGTCAGACTCGATGATCAAAATGGTCCCTCTGGCCTTAAAATCTGAGAATCTCCCAGCTTTGTCGATGCCTAGCCGAGAGCAGTTCTGACTGAAGAGCGATCGGAAGAAGCCGAGCACACACAAGCTGTGTTAGTGAGAAGTGGGTAGAGTTTCCGTCCACCCAGGGATGGGGAAAGAGTTGCACCCAATTCCGGCTGGCTTGGCTGGTAGATGATGATCTATCTGTATTTTTGTAACATCTCGAGCTTGACTGCTGTGATATTGTGCCTCTAGGAATGAAGCTGTCTGCTCTCAGAGCGCTCCAGCTAGTTCAGAATGCAGCAGTCTGTTTGCTCGGCGACTCAAGCTGCCGGGAATGCATCACCGTGCCCCTCTGCAACCCATATCACCTCGCCTTTGAGCACAGAGTCCAGTTCAAGGTCTCCAAGTCAGCATTCAAAGCCCAGCATGGGACAGGCCCCAGTGACCTAAGCAATCAATCACCTCTCCTTATGCAGCGATGACCTCACAAGACAGATATATTCCACTGGAACAATGAAATTGCCAACCAGTTTGGGGAGAGGGGGAAGGGATGGAAGAAGGGGAAAGATGCTGATGACCCTGAGGAACAGAACATTCACAGGAGCAGGGCCAAAATTATGGAACTTAACTGCCGGCTGAAATAACGCTCACCATTAGCAACCCTGCAGCACCAAGAGCTTCATGCAAATCCTTTCCTTCACCCAGCTCCCCCGCGGCAATGATCCCACTCGAAATAGTGATAACAAAATCAAAACAAACCTGAGGAGGACCCAGTCCTCCTCGCGGAGAAAGAACGCTAGGTTGGCTGTCATTTTTTAACTCCCAGCCAGTATTAAAGGCTACGGTGACAGCTCTGATACGAGACTGTGATCTCGGACCATGGAACCTAGCAGCTGTCTCCAAGCTTCGAGCAGAGCGAGCCCAGGCACTGGCAGTGAGACCCCAAACACACCGTCTGGCACCCCAGGCACCCCAAGCCTGTATTTTTCTCAGTGATCATGAACATCCCGGAGTTCATGGTCCAAGAGGCAGAGATGCAGTCATTACTGGTTTGGTAACAGGAAGCCTGAACCCCCAGTGCTGGTGAAAAGGGATTATATATACGTCCTGCTGTATTCAGCTGGGTAGGGATGGGGAAAGGGAGGAATCCCAGAGCAGCTGCCCCAGGGAGGTAATTCTGCTGCATCCGGAGGAGTTTCCTCAGCTGGCAGCATGAATCCAAATGTTGGTTCCCTGGGGTGGGAGATGCCAAGACCATCTGGGGATGGAGTTCCCACTGTGCACGAGGCCAGGAGGGACAGCTCTCAGACCAGGCTCAATCTGGGGCTGTCAGCCTGAATGCAGTAGCTCACATCAGGCTGCACTACCCGGTGGCTGAGGCTGGGAGGGTGGGAGGCAGTGCCCAGGAGGATCTGGCAGGACCGTGGAGGGACTGACGCTGCCCGCCCTGTGTCAGTGCGGCTCGGGCAGTGTTTGGTGACTGCCGGTGGGAATTCCTGTGCCAGGGTACCAGGGTGAGCCCTTATGGGCTGGGTATAGAAATCCTGGGCTGGGGCAGAATCCAAGGCTGGAAGGGTGATGGTGCTTTTGGACATTTTGGTAGCTAGGGAATGGGCGTGTGAAGCCCATCAGTGGTCCTCTGAGCTTCAGTCTCCCTGCATTTGGGAACTGTGTGGCCCCATTCCAAGCAGCACTCTAGGATGCCGGTCCCCTGCCATCTAGTGCCTGCCTGCAATACATGTCATGAGTCTGCCAATCTTCTGCCTCCCAGTTTCCTACTGTTCCCGGGCATCCGAGTGCTTCAAATGCTGAGTCTCCACGTCTGAATTGCTCTCTCTTGCATGTTGCACCCTTGGCCAGGCAGGAGGAGGGATTGACCCCTCCGTTTCCTTTCTCCAGCTGCGCCAATTTGGCTGAAGTCGCCTTCCTCAGCGCAGGCTCCAGTGCTCCAGCACAACAGGTCTGTGATGGAGCCCAGAGCTGGAGGGCAAGAGGCAGCGATGCCTCGGCTGTGTCCCCTCCCTCCCAGCCCCTCGGGCATCCCCTGCCCCAGACTGAAAGAGCGGGGGACTGGGGAGGAGAGGAGACAGCGGCTAGAAAGAGACACAGCACCTAGATGGGGAGAGGGACAAGATAACGGGGGAGAAAGGACACAGGGAAGGAGACGGGGAGAGATGACTTGGAGACGGGCACGCATCCCTTCCTGCCCCTGCAGTCCCATCCGCACCCCGCTCCCCAAGCCCGGTCTGAGAGGATGAACTTACCTTGCGGGCAGACGACTGGGGCGCAGCCGGGGTGGCGGAGCAGGGGGCTGTGGGAGCACAGCTGCTGCTGCCGGTGCCTCTCATGGCCAGGACGAAGGAAGGAGAGGAGGAGGAGGAAGGTTTGGTGAGGCTGAGCCCTGGCTGAGGGAGAGGGAGCGAGAGATGCCTTGAAATAAACAGCTGCCGAGGACTGGTCCAGCCCCTCTTTCTCTCTCTCTGTCTCTGTCTCTCTCGCTCGCTGCCTCCCGTTAACCCCATGGCTGCTGGCACGGGCGCGTCCGGCACCGTGGCCGCGCTGCAGCCGGAGGGGCGGCCGGGGGGAGCCGGGCGAGGGCAGCGGCCAGGCTGGGGCACCGCGTCCCCCCCGGCTCTGGAGCCCCCCGCCCCGGCGGCCGGCGGCGAAGGCTCCTCCCGCTCCCTGCCCTCCCGCAGCCCCGCTCCCGCCGGACCTGCCCCCCGCCGCCCGCCGCCGCTGTCCGCTCCGCTCGGCTCGGCTCCGCTCGGCTCCGCTCCTCTCCCGTCTCGTCGGTTATTTCGGGATCTTCACAGGAAGCGATTAGGTTGCCATGGAGAGAGGTGTCTCCAAGGGACCAGCCGCTCCAGCTCGCTCCGCCGAATGCCACCCCCGGACGGGTCCGTCCTTGGGGGCGGAGGCCCCTTGGGATCCCCCTCCCCCGGGCCGCCCCCCGGGCTCACCCCCGCCACCGCCCCGCAGCAGTCCCCTCGGGGAGATGCCACCCCTCCGGCCGCCCCTCGCCGCCGCCGCGCCGGTCCCGCCCCCCCTCCCCTCATCCCGCATCCCCCATCCCCGAGCTTCGGGGCCCCAGCCCCCCTGCGAGCCGCGGTACCGGGCATGGGGTAGGGGGTGCGGCAGGCGAATGCCCCCGGCAGGGCGCAGCCCGGGCGGGAGGGCGGGCGGCGGATTTCGGTCGATCCTCAGGGACAGAGCCGAGCTGCCCACGAGTGAGCTGGGTGGGACAGAGGGGTGCTGCGGGAGCAAGGGGGGGGAGGGGGAGGGTGTCCCCTCAAGGTGGGTGTCCCCGCTGAGGGATCACCCAGGTCGTCTGAACGTGTCCCCAAGTGTGTTTCTGCCGGGGATTGATGGGATGCGTCTGGAAATGGTAGGGATGTGACAGCGAAATTGAAGACAGAAGCAGATGTGCCTTTGAGGGGCTGGATGTCTCACAGGGAAGATCTCATCCCACCATCAAGTACCAAACAGCAAGCACAGTCCAAATCAGATGGGAGCAGCTGAGCAACCAATGGGTGAGAGAGGCAAGTCAACGACAGAAAGACAGTTTCCACTCCAGGGTCTGAAATATGAGGAAGCAAGAAACTAATTTCCTCAGATCCTCAGAAACAATCAAACTTTTCATCATAAAGCAAGGAGGAAAGACTGCGACTGACCCTGAGAAAAAAGAGAGGAATGGTAGAGACAGTGCTGAGCTGTAAAGCAACCTGCCATTGTGTCAGGAATGGGCACAGATGACAAATAGACACACAGTACCAAACCTGAGCACAGCAGGATGCCCAGAACATATTGTACCAACTTTGGACAGGCACCTGAGGGGGCTGAGTCCATTGTTCTTCATCAGGTCTCCCACGAGCTCCTGTGCTAATGAATGTTCCTTTGGAACAGTTGAGTCTTGCGCGTGTTTCTGTGAGCGTGTTTGGGAGAATCAACAGGTTTTCACCACGTTTGGGAGTAATGCTGTGTGTTTGGACATCTCGGCACAGGGTTAAGGTTGTGTTAAGGCTTATGGTCACTGGGAGGTCAGGGTGTGAGACAACGGCACTGACAGAAGAGATGTCACAGTCAGGGTTTTTGTGAGCCGCAGCGCCATTGTGTGTCAACAGGCGTGCACGCGGCTGAGCCCCCCGGCTTTTGTCCCCTTCACATACATGGGGCTTTATGTCAGAGATTATCCAGGCTTCTGTTGCATTCTCCAGCCTTTTCATCTCTAGCCCTCCCAGGAGTTGTACCAGTGACCTGTGCCAAGCTTGCTCAGTGAGCCCTCGCACACTCATCCCAAGAAACCACCTATATAGACATGGCCAGGGACGCAGCAGTGCGTCATGAGCCCTGCGCTTCTCCTCCTGCTTTCTCACCTGGGAGCAGCAGAGGGTAGAAAGCTCTGGAAGGGGCTCTACATCAGCCACACAGGCTCTTTCTGACCTTTTCAAATCCTGACAAATGTGTTTAGTATAATTGGGAAGCACAAAATAGACGAGAAAATTCAGGCAAGGAAAGGTCAGTTAAAGGGTGAAAATCCAAATGACGCAAACACTGAAAATCCCCCTGAAGAGCAGAACTAAAGAAGGAAGCAAAAGGAGGCAGAGATATGAGAAAGAACAAGGAGGAGGGTGTCGTAGGGGCCAAGAAAACTCTGAGGGATGGGGTTGGGGAGTCAGGAAAGCCATCGAGGTGATAGGAACAGCAAGCATAGGGGCTAATGTCACTCATATCACTCTTATGTGATATAAGGGGAATGGCTTTTTTGGTTTGGAGCACAGGTTAGGGCAAGCATAGGTTTAGTGGCCCCTTGAAGTGCTCTGGATGGGGTGGGCTCAAAAGAAAGCTAACATAAAATTACAGGGACATTTGAGGGGAGGGATGGAATCAGATGGGCTGAAGGAGGACACATGGGGTAGCTGTGGAAAGAGGATACAAGAGTATGCCAAGGATAAAGTAGTACTCTGAAGGTGTTCAAGGGAGGGTGATGTGGTGATGGAAAGAAGATGGAAATGTAAAAATGATCTCTGTTTGGCCAGGACTTGGACCAGGACCAGTGCATGTCTTGTGTGGAAAATGAAGTACCTCCCTGCCCATCCATACCATGGAAGGAGATGAGGCTGTTATTTCTGTCATCATGTACAGATCATTTACACCCAAGTGTTCTGAGGTCAACAAGAACACTGCTGCTGTTTTTAGTGTTGTTTCCTGCAAACAGCAGGGCAACCTGTGTGGTTGTATAGAGTATAGAACACATGGAAGAACATACAGAAGTATAGAACATACGGGAAACAAATCCATAGAGAACCCGGTTTCCTCAGCCCTGTTGCTCACCAAACAACTGGTTAATAAGCTCTGGAATATCAGAGACATCCCAGAAGGCTGGAAGAGAGCTGTGCCCTGCCAATATTTGTAAAGAGCAAACAGAAGACCTGAAAGTTTCTCAGCAAAGCAACAAAAAGCCAATATGAAATTCTCCAGTTAATGCCAATCAGCCTGATTTGGAGGAAACTGATCTTGCTGCATAAACTTGTTTTGTTCTTGCCAGTCTTTGATGTGACTAGAGGTTTGTTTGGAAAAGGTGACGGCTTAGATCTATCCAGGCTTCTGGAAGCATTAATATCCCAAGGCATACCATGAGAAAAAAAAATAGCATTATGCAATATTAACAGAGCAGGAGGTTAAGTGAGCTGCTTGCCTCCATTTAACGACCTGCAAACACAAAGGAGGTCATCCCTGGAAGCCCACTGTTGGGTGGCAGTGTTTCTTACATGGATGCCCAGGAAGGAGTCCTTGGTCAGGTATGACTCACCATTTTATTCAGTGCTTGGTGAGCAGATACAGTTCATTCTGACACAATTTACTGAGGTCACAAATATTGTTAGAGTGTTAAAAATAATGAGGATGGGACCAGCACAGAATGACCTCCCACGTTCAGTAAGGCTGTCATTCCCATAAAACTTCTAGAAGATAGCTGAGAGCAAATTGCACAGCCATAGACAGGGAAAAGTGTCCGTATCTACAGAGAAAAACTTCCAATCCTGAAAAGAGGTGATCTGGAAAGGACTGAGAGATCCTAACAGGCAGAAAACCCGACATGAGGTCAGTGGGCCAGGCTGTACCACTGGGTCTGAAGTGATCTCTGGCCATGCAAAGACAGAAGGAGATGATTAAACCTCTCTCTGTGTCTGGGTAAGTCCCACGCTGGAAAACGGTACCTGGCTTCACGCTCCATATTTTAAAAATAACTTTGAATCAAAGGTGACCTGAAGGCTGGAGATCTCAGCAATTTAAAGAGGTCAACCTGTTTAATGTATCAAAAAGCAGAACGAGACATGACTTGCTTGCAGTATCGCTTCCTTCCTGGGGAAAAGTCTACCAGGTATTCTGGCAGAGAATAACAGGAGCCAGCCACTGGAGAGTGATTAATCACAGAAACAAACTACCAAGTGAAGTGCAAGATCCTCTCTTCTGGAGTCTTTGACTCACAACTGGAGGCCTGTCTGGAAGAGAGCTGCTTGTCCACAAAATCCATTGGGCTGTGAGAGTTAAGAACCCTCAGGAGGAAGGAAGAGTTACCACTCAGTTACCCTCTCTTTAAAGTCCTCTGTAAGCACCTGATACCAGGCTGCCTTTAGGTGTAACTAAGAACAGGTATCATGACTGTGCATTAGCCCAGTACGAGTTACAGGGGTGAAAGCCTTCTGGACCATGTTGGTATCTGAGTGCACCCCAGCCTCCTTTGTCTTTTGGTTTTGTCTTGGAGTCTGTGTTACATACAGTTGTGAAAAATCATCTCAGAAGATGTGACCCTCGCTATGTTTAGAGAAGGACTGGGGAAAAAATACCACCAGTGTTTTGACAAGTTATTTGGATTCTGCGGTGGTGAGGAGAGAAACAGCCTAGAATGAGCCAATACAGCTCTACAGGCTTTAAAGTGGGACAGTGAGCACGTAGGAAAGAAGGTGGATCTATAGAATGAAGAGAATGGAGGTTTCTTTCTGGAAAGATCAGAAAGAGATCAGAAGAGAGGGATGGTGCTAGGGGTGGTTACAGTGAGGATTAGAAATCCCAAGCATTCAGAAATAACCATGCAGAGCCTCCCTGTGCCACAAGATTTATCTTAAGATTATGAAATGTAAAGACTTGCTTTCATCTGCACTCTTCGCCTCCTACTTTCAACTCTTTAGGTTACATGAAAACCACTTTCACAGTTCCCCTGTGACCATAAAGATAGGCATTTGCTTTGTGAACAAAGTGAAAGCATGGGAGTTAACGGCTTCAGGAGTCTGGAATTTAAACTCAACCCCAGCACCCTGATCTAGGAAATGAAGCATAGACTTTGCTAAGTTAGAGGGATCGCAGAGGAGTTGCGTATTTTGGGAAGAAGATGACCTTCTTGTTTGGAAAGCTCAGGATCTGATGCATTCAAAGGACTTCCTGGTCTTTGCCCTTGTTTCAGCTCTATGCAGGACAAAGAGAGCGGACAAAAACGTGGGGACCCAGCACACAGGACCTAGGGGTAGGAGTGGAGAAGGGGGACAGAGAGAGCATCATGGAGCTAGGATGCTGGGGCTGCTTGGCTTTATCTGCCTAATAATGAAAAGCAGCAAGTGTGTCAGAGAGTGTGAGGGAAACAGATCAATAGGGAGATAAAACTGAGATGGAAGGAGCTGGTGAGGGGGGTGGGGAAGAGAGTAATAAGCCACTACAAATCAGGAGGGTTACATCTGAACCCGATTTGAATGCACTCTGAGCTGGTGTGAATACAGCAGGTGTAAGGCTACAGTGAATCAGACCTAAATACAGAAACAGAGAAGGGAAGCAGAAAGGAGGTAGTCCTCTTGTTAATACTGCCCTGAAATCTGCCTCCACAGCTCTGATCCAACTTTACAAGCCCTGCTTCTCCCCTAATCCTGCTGTATGGAGAATCCCAGACCTTGCTACCTCTGAGAACAGGGATTGA